GGTCGCGTAACATATATGCAAAATGCACTCATTTGTGGGTTAAGAATAAGTTAGAGCAATTGTAAATCTAAGCAAGTGGAAAGTACTCCATAAAAACGCGCTGCCAGTAGGAGACTCCCCTATTTATAACGCTTATGCTTAGGTGAAGCTGAGTATGAAAAAGTCCGATTAGATTTGCACAAAAATTCCGATGCACTGCCTTTGGTATCAAGAAAAGGAAGGAACCCCTCCATTTACGACGGTCAGGTTTAGTTAAAGCTGAGGACCAGCAAAGTGAAATTTTTCACGAATTCCAACTGCAAAATCTGAACATAGCAAAAAGACGGGTAGACTGAACGTATGGGGATGAAGCCGGCCTTTCCTTCCCCTCCCTGCCTATCAGTTCGAACTGTCACTAGCCTTTTTACAGGAAGAAACCAGTGCATTCAAGACACGCATCAGGCGTTCGTTTTTTGTGCCAACTACTAAAATTCGGATTGGCCGAGCCAGGAACCAAGTAGCAACAACGACTAGGAGCGAGGATAGAGGGCTGAAAGTATGGAAGGGGGTAAGGATCTGTGGTAGTCGTTTAGGTTTGACCTAGCAATTTTGTAAGGAATCGTTATTATCATTTCCCCTTTTCACACCGTTAAAGCTGTCTTGCGAGAGCTGCACGGTGCAAGAGGTAAGAGACGACGCGAAAACTGTTCATCCAACATGTACCTGGATTACGTACAAAATTGCTTCGGTTGCGGAGTGACGGAATTGTCTATGTCAAACCCCACGTGTCCGTTTGTAGGATGTGGAGAGAGGGAGGAGGGGAGCTTTTACAAGTCCATACTTCACTATTTTTTTTTTTGTATGATCTCACTTTGTAGGGTTATTTTTCTTAGGATCTTATCATATCTTATCCATAACCAAATCCTTATTTTACTCTTACAAGTCTATTTAAGGTTAAGTGGAAATTTTGTTAGAAAATGTAGCAATGGATGATAGAAAAGGTCAAAAAATCTAGTGTCGTTTGGACAGTGAATTTACGTGCACTGAGTGCGTGCCGCCGCCTGCACGCTTGCTGTGTTGAAACAGTAGGTAATCAATCCGAGTCAAACCCGAATCAGTAATGGATGTCTGCAAGACTGGCTGCAGATCCACTTTTGCTCGGTTCTGTCTTACCAAATTGTGCAAACCTTTCTCACTGGTCTTCCGCTCTTACTGTTAGTGCAGTTGTGAGAGTGTTTTCTTACACTTTGGAAGATGCAAGAAGTGGAAGCCGGAAGACGAACGCCAAGCTCGCCATAGGTTGGCAATGCAGTTTTGGTACAATAGCGATATGAAGGCCTGCTAGCTTTGCTAGTAACGCATTGTACAACGCGATGTATCCTGCGATGTTGGCGAACTTCATGAAAACTGAGCCTTTATAAAAGCAATGAGACAAAAGTTTCGGAAACGATTCTCCCAGATATATTCTTGTACAGAGTATCACGTTAATAGGCGGCATGAACCCATCCAGCCGAAGAAACACGAAAACATATTCGAAAAGGAAAACGCACAGCTTTATACATTTTTGGGTTCTGGGAAAACCCAGCATGTTTCCATAAGGAGAAGCAATTATAGCTCGAAATTTCAGAGTTTCTTAATTGATCATACAGTACAAGGCGGAAACATTCAAAATCACTTTGAGCTCATACAGGTACCCAAGTAGTGAGCACATGCTGATATTACAACACCAAAAAGTAACGATGTGGCCAGAATTTTGAATGAGCGTGACGGTTTATAAGTCATCACGACGAAGTCAAAAATTCGCACACTGCGTGTCAGTAAATACCTGATCCAAAAACGCATAAGCTCGTCTAGCTGTTGATGCACGTTGTCCACTTATTTCTAGCAATTAAGCTAAATTCCTTTACAAATGAGAGACAACAAACGCACATCCTTCCCCTTTTGGATTCTGATGTAGATGAAGAATCGAAAAGTGGTTGAGCTAAAAGACCAAACAAGCGGGAAGAAACCCCGGAAAAAATGGCGAAATGAAAAATCCGATTATTTCTCGACGATGCATTAGAAACAGTGCGACATGACTATGCAATCAAAAAAAAAAACCGATATTCCCTTGCACCAGCACATGCAAAAAGCACTCCTTCCTCCAAAAAAGCATACTAACGCTCTTGCACATCACAACAGTTAGCTACTCCTCTGTTTTTGGGTCTCACCAGATTTTGAACACGACAGCCGCCAATTCAATGTCTTGAAAACTTCCAAACTTTTCTGGACATCAACCAATTTTTGCACAGCCGCTTTACCCGATGTGAGCAGATACAACCGACATGACTCCAACAGCTGTTACCAGCTATCAGATTGCAGCAAAAGCATCGACAAACGATAGATGCAGCAAACGCGCACTTTCTGCACCGTTGTGTCACCAACAACATCCATTAGAAACACCTTCATATCAATAGCAACAAAGCTAGCGTAGTCATGCATTTTGTGCGATTTCTCTTTGCTGTGTAGTATAACGACAATAGTCCTTTCAAGTGTATTACGCATAAAAAATACTGCTGAGCAACTATCCTTAATTTAGAAATGCCAAATGACCAACTGCTACTCAAGAAACGAATACTACTACATCCTAGCACTTCCTAAAT